CTCTGAATAGAAGGAACGAGTTTAGGAAATTAAGTGGAAACTACCTGTGGTTGTTTGATAGGATTCGAGAGAAGATGAGGAAACAGGAAGTACCGCTGAGCAAGAGGATGATTTATTAGCCCCAAATCTGGTTTCCACTCTCAAACCCGAAGCGTCTCACGATCATTACATGCAGACAATGCTTGTGCAATGGAACCCAATCACATACAGCACCATTGCAGGATCAAACAAAAAAGGTAAGAGTTGTATTGTAAGATGCAGCTGTTCGGTCACAATTTCATTCAGTTCACATGTCATCCACAGCCACTTGACTTTTCAACAGCATGTAGGAAAAGTCTAGGATCTACAACCAAATCATGAGATGTCCCACCCACTAAGTGGATCTAGCCAAATTATAAAAAGTAGACAAGATTGTAGCCGGCCAGCCTTCTTCTCCGAATTTTGGTGAATTATCGCTAGGCTTGCTGCTCTGCTCTGACAATGTCCGTCACATGACGAACGAAAGCTTAGCAAGGACTCATCGAGGTGACAGGGCGGTGCGCCGAGGATCTATTGACACAAATCTACAGTCACGGCTCCGCGGCAATCCCCCTACAACTTCCGGTGAAGCCAACTTCTGAAGCCCTTCCACTCGCCTTTTGAAACGGAATAAAAGTTATTCCAAAATTTATTTATTAAGGGATTAGATGTATTCACCCACTTTCGTTGAAGGTGAAGAAATTTCCCACATTGATATGAGTTGAGCTGACTTTTCCATTCAATTTCACATAGCCTTGCTTTCCCAAAAGTTGTTCTCATCCAGGCACCAGTGGACTGCAGTTTCGACCTCGTTCGGTCTTATCAACATCCTCAACGGAAGTAGAACCGTGACAGTGCAGAATGGGAGCTTGACACATTAACCACTCGGCCACATTTCCACGAGAGTCCTTGGGTCATAGGGTAAATGTAAATTTTAAGCAAGGCCAGGCCTTTGTGAACACATCTCATATACCTGATTTACTGGTAGTCTTGAAACTCTACTTATTAATTATTATTAAGGGATTTTTTGGGAAACAGTTTCTATACATATGTTCATACTGCGTTTTAATTTATAAGTAGGGTTTTGAGACTACCAGTAAACCCTTCTCAGAATTTCATACTCTCAAAAATGTATTGGTTGGATGGAATTCGCAATTGGTCTCACCGGAAACCGATCAATACATTTTAGTTATAGCTTATTCTCATTATGTCTGTTATACGATCGACACACACACACACACACGTTTGAAGAGGCGAGTTGAAGGGATTTTTAAGTTTGTCTCATCGAGAGCTAAAGTATGATTACCTTATAGCTGTGTTTTTATATTTGTGCCAATAAGTTCTTAGCGCACCGCCTTGCGACCCTGATGAATCCTCGCTGAGCTTTCGTCTGTCAAATGATTGATATCATCAGAGCAAAACACAATGTTTTATGATAATTCAGCCCAACTTTGTTTAGCACTGCTTTGACTATACTTCATCAAAAATCTTTCAATTTAGCCAATCGACAGCTGATCCGGAAGAATCAAAATTCTTTCAATCAAAATGGAACTGAGCTCAACAATTGTAGCCCAAGAGTCTCCTCATAAACTAGCTTTTATTTGTATTTCTTTATTTTTCCACTTGTCGACCTATCTTTTATTTCCTTTGTCCTTTAGGCTACCCAGTGCTTTGGCAACAGAGGGAGTGGAAGCCTCGACAGGGACCAGGCCAAGCGGGCAGGCTGAGCAGGTTACGACAAGCGGAGACCTGAGCCATGTCAAGTCGGACAAATTGGCTGCAAATGACTGTAGACAAAACGGGCCAGACAACTTAGTTCACCCGAAGCCTGCGTCGCCAAGCCAAGACGAATGCAGCTCAACTAACAGTCGAAACTCCTCTCTGCCATCAAGGGCTCCAAAGTCAAAGCTAAATACACCCGCTAAACAACAGTCTGGTAGGTCGAAAAACGGAGAAGTGGTCAGCATATCGTCATATTCTTTCTTGTACCCCACCGCTAGTTGATTGCAAAGGCCGTGCGGTCCTTCCATGAACTTGATACCTCTATCTTTATGAGCATATTTTCGCTCGCTTATAGTGCATCTATGGGTCTTAAATGTGCCCATTAATAGGTATTCATTCATGTATCGGAAGCCGAGGCCTCCAGTTTAATTGTAGATCTAAATAATTCATGTTGATATAAGTCTTTGGAAAGATGAATTCACACAAATGATCTCCTCTTTTTTAAGACAATTATTAAAAGACGGAATAAAAGCTTGAAAGGGTCCATACTAGCTTTCTATCCTTAGAAGCGATTCGTAAATCCTAAGCGAAAAAGTTTAGGCGGTTACCTTGGAGGTTTGATTATTGATCTGATCGACAAATTCCCCTACGTATCATTTTCCTATTCCGATGATAGGCTTGACCATGTCTAATGTGATTAAGAAAAATGTGCTTTCTGTCTCTGAAGCAGTCTGTGTCCACAACTCTAATCCTAACTTGGTTTAATGTGAGACTATTTTCAAGACTTTCATTTCGTATGAAAGTGCATGCTGAAGAGATTCGTAGGCCGATCTCACTATTGACGACGGTTGATCCTCGTTCTGCAGCCTTTTGGCTTTAATACGACGCTTAGGTTAATGCAATCCATGAGAAATCTTCTATCGTTTCGGGTGAAGACGGGTTGACCTTTCATCATGTGACGAACATCGTCAGAGCTGGGACTCATTCTTGCAAAAACCTCAAGTCAAGAATACTGATTGGCTCTTTCTCATATGATATATATATATATATATGTACACGTTGCGGGATAAAAATTAAATAGAGATGGATATAGAAATGTTTGCTTAATTCTCTTATGCTCGAGTGTGTCTGTAATAACGGCTGTACACAGAAGCGGCCATAACTCAAAGTAATTGAAAGAAACTTAACGTCAGCTTCGGATCATCAAGGCTTATTGACCTAAGGAAAAAAGGAAAAAGAATGATTGAGATTGCGTTAATTCGTAAATAATGAGATTTAAGTCTACGATTAAAAATCAGGTTACGAAGCTACCAGTCGGCACTGCTTTAGACTAGGCTAGTAAGGTTTACTGACCCAAGAAGAAGCATGGCTGGGATTGCTTAGTCTCACACGTTAGTTTGGGGTGATGAGCTTTACATGCCTGTCGAATGAGTGTGAATTTACTTAGAACCATCACTCAGCTGATTAGTTGATTCAACTTCATTTTGGCGAAGGCCTATCATCCTCTCTTTTATTCAATTTTTCAATCCAGAATACTTATATTAGATGTATTCAACCCATTTCGTCTAAAGTTATGAAGGCCTGGTGGTTTAATTTCCCCGCAACGGTATGAGTAGAGCTGACGTCTTCATTGAATTTCATATAGTCTTGCTTTCCCAAAAGGTATTCTCATCCAGGGCGGACATCGTCTAGGTCTTATCAACATCCCCACCAGTAGTCGAATTATTATGGTGTAGCGTGTAATCTCGACACGTTAAATACTACGCCACGTTTCCACAGGTGCCCTTTTATCTCAGGGCAGATGTGAGTTTCAAGAAAGGCATTTTCCCATATTACATTCTGTGATGGGATTGTCGATGAAACAAATTTGTATTAAGCAATCTAGTCAATTGTTATAGCTTCATCGATAATCTCACCATAGAATGTCATAGGAAAATTCCTGGCCTTCCTTGAAATTCACATCTGCTCTGTGACCCAAAGGCAATCATGGCAGTGTGGTGTAGTATTTAGTGTGTCGAGATCACACGTTACACTAGCATAGTTCGATTCTTGCTGGAGGTGTTGATAAAACCTAAGCGAGGTCGATACTACAGTCCACTCCAATCGGGATGAGAACATCTTTTGTAAAAGCAAGGCTGACCAATTCAATGGAAGTATCAGGTCTATTCACATTGTAGTGGGAAAATTCAACTACCAGTCCTTCATCACCTTAAACGAAATAGGGGGAATACATCTTATATAGCTGA